ATGGCCCCAGAGAACAAACACATGGTCTCTCTGGTTATTCTTCCTCCCAGAAGCTCTGGTATCCATTGAACCTGGGCCTTTCTAATTCGGTTTGATTTGGTCTGATTTGGATTATTGCGTCAGCAGAGAGGTTTATCAGGCCGGAACAACTTTGCACTTTGTAGAACACAAACTTTTTCAGTGGTGTGGAAAGACCCTAGCTCCTTTTCAGCCCCATGTCAAATAATTCTCTTTTCCACACCCATTAATAAGCCACACTCACACATCCCACTCTGGGAACTCCTTCCAGCAATTCCCTCTCTGTGTGCCTAGAGTGTTCTTCATTCATCTCTGCAAGCTGGACCCTTGTGGCCTCTTAGACGTCTTGATGGTTTGCATGAGACAGCTCCCATAGTCTGAGCATTTTGAATACTCATCCCCATTTGGTGACTGGGGAGGTTTAGGAGGTATAGCTTGGCGGGAGAAAGTATGCCACTGGGGGAGGGCTTTAAGAGTTCAAATTACTTAACACTGGTTGGAGTTCTGTCTTGGGGCCTGGAGAGCTGGTTCAGGGGTTAAAAGCATTGACTGCTCTTCCAGAGAACCTGAGTTAGATTCCCAGCACCCACATGGCAGCTCACACCTGTCTGTAACTCCAGTTTCAGGGAATGTGACACCCGTAGCAAAAACATAAGTGCACATAAAAATAAAATAAAATAAAGAATTCTTGCCTCCTCCCTTCCTGCTTGCAGTTTGAGCTCTCAGACCTCAACCTTCAGCTTTGGTGCCCATCACCCCACGGTGATGGTAAGGAATTCTTATCTCTCTGGAACTGTCAACCCCAAGTAAACACGTTCTTCTACAAGTTGCCTTGTTCGTGGTGTTTTATCACAGCAACAAGAAAGTAACTAAGACAGACCTCAACCTACAGTTGCCCACTAAAGCAACTTCAGACCGTCAGTCTAAGGAAACTACCCACTCTAGTCCCCAGGAAGAGATGTCATTCTGTACCCATGCTTTCCCCCTCACAAAATGTGCACATGTGAAGCAGGGTGGGAGACAGTGACATTTTGTCATGGATGCCCAGGGCTTGGGTTTTGAATGGGAGGAGCTGGGAAGTTAGGAATGTAGGCTTTCATCCTGTCAGCACAGACTAGTCTTTTGGCAGGAAGGTACAGGACGGAGTGCCATGCAAGAGTCTAGTAGGGCAGGTATACCCAAGAGTCAACAAGGCTTCCAACAGCAAGGTGGGGGTGGAGAGTTGGCTCAGAGGTTAAGAGCACTGACTACTCCTCTAGAAGTCCTGAGTTCAATTCCCAGCAACCACAACTCTCTGTAATGAGATCTGGCGCCCTCTTCTGGCCTGCAGGAATACATGCAGACAGAATGAGGTATAGATACAAAATAAATCCATTTTTTTTTAATTGCTAGTTTCTATTTTTATTGCAAAATTAAAGTGGAAAAGATTCCTTTTTATTGAGATTGTATAAAGAATTAATTTTATTATGACATTTTTATATATGTGTATCATGTACTTTGATCATACTCACCCCACCTTTTTGCTTGTTTTTTGAGATAAAGTTTCTCCTTTTTTAAAATTTATTTTATTGATATTTATTGAGCGCTACATTTTTCTCTGCTTCCCTCCCTGCCTGTCCCCTTCAATCCTCCCCCAAGGTCCCCATGCTCCCAGTTTACTCAGGAGATCTTGTCTTTTTATACTTTCTACTTCCCATGTAGATTAGATCTATGTAAATCTCTCTTAGTGTCCGCATTGTTGTCTAAGTTCTCTGGGATTGTGGTTTGTAGGCTAGCTTTCTTTGCTTTTGCTTTATGTTTAAAAACCACCTATGAGTGAGTACATGTGATAATTGTCTTTTTGTGTCTGTGTTACCTCACTCAAAATAATGTTTTCTAGCTTCATTCATTTTCCTGAAAAATCCAAGCTGTCATTTTTTTCTGCTGTGTAGTACTCCATCGTGTAAATGTAAACATTTTCCTTATGCATTCTTCGATCGAGGAGCATTTAGGTTGTTTCCAGGTTCTGGCTATGACAAACAAAGCTGCTATGAACATAACTGAGCACATGTCCTTGTGGCATGATTGAGCATTCTTTGGATATATACCCAAAAGTGGTATTACTGGGTCTTGAGAAGGTTGTTTCCTAATTTTCTGAGAAATCGTCATACTGACATCCAAGCAGGTTGTACCAGCTTGCATTCCCACCAGCAATGCAGAAGTGTTCCCTTTTCCCTACAACCTCTCCTGCATAAGTTGTCGTCAGTGTTTTTGATCTTGGCCATTCTCAGAGTTGTTTTGATTTGCATTTCTCTGACCACTAAGGATGTTGAGCATTTCCTTTAAGTGTCTTTCAGTCATTTCAGATTCCTCTGTTGAAAGTTCTCTGTCTAGGTCTGTACTCCTTTTTTTTTTTTATTGGATTGTGTGATCTTTTGGTGTCCAATTTCTTGAGTTCTTTGTATATTTTGGAGATCAGACCTCTGTTTGATGTGGGTTAGTGAAGATCTTTTCCCATTCTGTAGGTTGTCATTTTGTCTTGTTGACCATATTCTTTGCTTTACAGAAGCTTTTCAGTTTCAGAAGGTCCCATTTATTAATTGTTTCTCTCAGTGTCTGTGCTGCTGGGGTTATATTTAGGAAGTGGTCTCCTGTGCTAATGCATTCAAGTGTACTTCCCACTTTCTCTTCTATAAGGTTCAGTGTGGCTGGCTTTATGTTGAAGTCTTTGATTCATTTGGACTTGAGTTTTGTGCATGGTGATAGATATGGGTCTATTTTCATTTTTCTACATGTTGATATCCAGCTATGCCAGCACCACTTGTTAAATATGCTTTCTTTTTTTCCATTTGATATTTTTTTGCTTCTTTATCAAAGATCAGGTGTTTAATGATGTGTCTACATGGGAAGTAGAAAGTAGAAGACAAGATCTCCTGAGTAAATTGGGAGCATGGGGACCTTGGGGGAAGATTAAAAGGGGGAGGGGAGAGGCAGGGAGGAGAGCAGAGAAAAATGTAGAGCTCAGTAAATATCAATAAAATAAAAAAAACTTAAAAAAAATAAAAAATAACCTAAAAAAACCCAGCAAGGTGGGCCTTGCTTGTAAAGAAGTACAAGCAGAGTTCCCAGCTGGTAGAGAAGGAAGTTCTAAGAAATGCAGGCAAGAGAGGAGTCAAAGAAACAGCAAGGAGCCTGTAATCCTAGGATGCTGTTCCAGGATGCCTGTCTGAAGGACATCAGACTTGCAGATAGAATCCAGTGTGTCCACAGCTGAGGATGGGCGGTGTGAAAAGCATGTGTGTGGGCTGACACTCAGAAAAGCTCAAGATCCTCTCCCCCTGCCATCTGGAGGCCTCCCTTACTCCGTGGTCCTTAGTACCCCGCTGGGGTAAAGGGGAGGGGGAGAGGCAATAACCGGTTATTACTGCCTGGTCACAAGGCTGGGCCAGAAGGAAAGTTGGTGGTCAGTTTTGCGGCTAGTAAGCTGCTAGCTCAGGGAGATACTCCCTGGACTGGTTTCTCCCTAGTGGTCAAATAATCCTGGAGCGTAGGCTCCAGGTGGATGCAACACCTCAAGATCCAGGGCAGTATTTGTTAAGAAAAATCCTCTCCGCCGCGCCCAGAAATCCAATCATGCCAAATCAAACCGAGTTAAAATGTCCATGTTTAAATAAATGCAGCATTCTCGCAGGGCCGAGAGCATGGCAGGGGAGACAGAAAACCAGGGAGCACAGGCTAACCGGAGTCCACACTTAAATACCCTGTGGGAGAGGTCAGGACTTGGCATGCTGGCATTTGGGGTCCAGACCAATCAACTCCCAGGTTGGGGTGGGGGGGGCTGGGATGCATGCCAGGGGCTGGGTTGACTCCCAACTTAATATCACATTATTTCAAGCCTGGACAAAATATCAAAGTTAAAGTTGGTCACCAGGTTCTCCCAGCATTCCTCAGCCCCTACCTGTTACAGGCTCCTCCAGGCTGGCACACCCAGTCCTCTACCTGAAACTTCTGTCCAGGAGCTGGGCCGCCCTTCCCTAGGCCACCCTTCACCAGTAACTTTGGCTGCCCGGCTCTTTGTTCTTTCGGTCTCCTCATTTCCTGGTTCTCCCCACCCCCTTCCCTGCCCTCTTCTCCCCACTGGTCCAGCTCAAGGTCGTGTTCTCGCTGGACCCCTCTGGCTACCCTCTCCCTTATCACACCTAGAAGCAGCCACGCACTTTTTATTTCTTTAGTTTTGAGACAAAGTTTTTCTGTGCAGCCCTAGCTATCCAGAAACTCACCACGTAGACCAGGCAGGCCTTGAACTCAGAGATCTGCTTGCCTCTTCCTCCCAAGTAATGGAATTAAAGGCGCGCGCGCGCGCGCTTCTTTCTTTTCTCGTTCAGGCAGGACTCTGAGGCTTATGGAAGGTTGGTGGACTGATTCAGCCACACAGCATGGCTGACACTTCCAGGTTCTAGGGCCAGGCACACGGACAAGCCCATGGCCTCAGGGGATCTTAAAGGACCCTGCGTGCCCCACGTGTGGCATGGTTGCATCACCTACATCTGACGCAACTGCGTGAGCCCTTGCGCTCAGGCATGAGCTCTGTCATCTGCGTCTGATGTAGTCACGTCATCCCCCCCTGTGCGCACGCGCTAGGCAGCCCTTAAAAACTGGTCGCACCGTCTTCAAGCTCTCTCTCTGCACACCGACCTCACCAGGCCTGTATAACCTTCACCCCCCACAATAAACTCCTAAGCGGGTTTGTTGCGTGTTCTGCGTTTCCTTCTCACTTGCGCCAGGTAATTTTAGTGGAGGTTCACACAGGCCCTGAGCTCAATCTTCAACTCCAATCCTCACTAGAGAGGTTACTTATTCAGAAGCTGTGGTGCTCAGGACAGCCCCAGGGGACAAACTTCACTTTTCAACAAGGAGCCATAAAGGGCAGTTAATAATCAGCCCCCAGGTCAGAGGCAGGTTCTGTCTGCCCAGGACCTCCGGCTGGCTCCACGTATTGATAGGTACTTGGCTCTCCCCTCCCTAATTAAACAAGAAAGGAGGTCCAAAGGCTCTAGAGGTCCTCAACCTATTGTGATCTTCAAGGGACAAACATTCCTGGGGTGTCACAGGATTCAGGTACACTTCTGAGGCCATGAAGAAGGCTGCCAGACAAGAGGCCTCCAGGAAGCTGGTCTCCTTGGAGGACATTCCTCTTTGGCTGGTTTTTCTCCAGAGGCCAAATTGTTTCCTTTCCTTCCTCCTCGTCCTCTTTCTCCTCCTTCATTTTTTTCACCAAGGTACTGACCTCTATTTCCTTACCCAAAGTTCTGTTGAGATCCACAGGCTGGCACCCCCCACATTTAGGTGCAACTTGTAACCTTCTCTGGGGCCACACACGCCAGGTACCTGATCAACAGTTTGCTTTTTCCTGCTCAAATCTCTCCACTTCCTTTCCCAAAGGGGCAGCACCACCCTGGGCTCCTGAGTGGGGGATGGATGTGGGGGATTCTTTTGGGGCTGCAGTGGGAGGTGTTAAAAGAGCTCATCCTGAAAGGACCATAAAGACCATAATAGGAGTGGGAGTTGAGTGAGGAGAGAAGGGAAGGGGCCTGGGCTTTCAAACTACTGAGCCTCCACGAGATGGTTTTGTGAGTGGAAGTGGAGGATGATTGGGTTGGTGAGGTTGGGGGAACTAGTAACTCGTGGAAGTTGGAAGCCTGTGTCTTGTGATGATCCTGCCCTTGGCTCTGATGTGGTTCTCTGGGTCTCATTCTGTTCATCTGTAGAACAGAACACTGATGGAGGAAGTGAATGTGATCATCTTTAAGGGTTCTGGGTCTTAGCAGCTTAAGCCACAAAGGTTTAGTTTTTGTTTTTAGGACTGAGTGACTTCATAGGCTTTTTGTTTGCAGTGCGGGGGATTGAACCCAGGGCCTCGTGCAAGACAAACCCTTGCCATACACCCTCAGAACCAAACCAGGGCTATCAACTCCATCTCTCCAGAGGCCTGACTGGCGCTGCTCAAAGGCAATAATTAACAACTGAGTGTCCTTCGCTCAGTCTCAGCCTCCATTCCTGGGCTTCCTTCCCACTGCCTGCTCCACAGCCCCCGTCTCCTAGGCCACTAAACCTCAGCAGTCTCCAGGAATGAAAGCAAAAGAAGCCCAGAGCAGAGCGAAAGCCTGAACCAGTCTTGAGAGCTGCTTCCGTTCCCAGGTATTCTGGTCGTCTTCTCATTAGGGACCACATACCCTAAGGTACCCCCGGCCTATGTTAAAGGGTTTGCTGAACTAGAAAGGCCTTCTGTATGCCTTGAAGTCCAGAGAATCCAGAGGTGGACACTGAGGCCCAGATCAGAGCATGACCAGCACAAGGTTAAACTGTGAGGTAGAAAAAAGTGTTTGTCTTTAGCTGGAACTTAAGGATCCGGCCCTTCAGCCAAGAGCTGAGTTCTTAGCTCCTAGTCTGGAGCCCCCTACGTGTTGCTTGTGGTGGTTACGGCAGGGGCAGTGTCGCAGGTGGACTAATCGGAACTGTGACTTGAAAATGATGAGCTTGCAGAATGCAAGGCCCAGGGAGACAGAGAATACTGGCTGAAGGGAAAGAAAAAGGGACCATTGGCTGGAAAAGATCCAAGGAGGCGGGGCTGAGGGGACTCAGTAGGAACTTGGGACATTTTAGCAATTTGGAGCTTTTTGCAGGGGGAGGGGCTTGGGGAAGGGTCAGTCTTGGGTGGGTAGTCCTAGCTGTTGGATTTACGCTTGTCCCTCAGCCAGGTTTAGTTGGTCACACATATATGAAATTGGCCATTATTTGGTGATTTTTTTTTCTTCTACGTTTCCTCTTGTGGTCCTTTCCGCATGGTCAAGCAGGGAGTGGAGCGAGGTCTGGGCTGGGCTCAGCTCTTTGAACTTTAGTCTGTGCTCCAAGCAAGCAGGGCTTGTTTGACCCCCCACAGGAGCTGAAGAAGACACACCTGACGCTCCAGTAGGACTGACTTCCCTGGCCTGGGCTTGGAGAACAGAGTAAGTAGATCAACAGAGGCATAGCTGGGTCCTGGAGAGAGTGATTTCGGAGAGAGAATGGATGATTGGGATAAATCATTTTGATAAACTGGGCTGAGGCAAGGAGATTAAAATTTCTAGGGCTGGGCGGTAGAATGAGCTCAAGATCAGCCTGGAGATTTACTAAGAGCGAGTCACGTGGCAGTGGCTGCACCTTTAAACCCAGCAGAGGCAGGTGGATCCCTGTGAGTTTGAGGGCAGCTTGGCCTAGAGTGAGGTCCAGATAGCCAGGGTTGTTATATAGAGAATCCTTGTCACGAAAAACCAGAAAGAAAAAAAATTCAAAAAACAAAGTTAGTTTAAGAGTAGCTTAGGAGACAGCAATCTGGTGCAGAGTAACATTTTGTGGAGTAGAGAAGAAAGAGAAGAATGCTGGATGGGCCTCCATCTGATGAGACTCTTGTCAGGACACCCAAGTTTTGGGGACTTTTTGTTTGTTTTATTTTTATGTTGGGATCTCACTATCCCAGGCTGGCCTCAGATTTGGTATGTAATTGAAAATGACCTTGAGTTTTTGATCCTCTTGCCCCTAAATTCTGAGAATCTACTACCAACTGAGCTGTTTCCAGTCCCAGAACACCAAGGTCTTTTTTGTTTTTCCCAAGACAAGGAGGATTTCTCTGTATAGCCCTGGCTGTCCTGGATCTAGTTCTGTAAATCAAGCTGAGATTTACTTGCATCTGCCGTGATTAATGATTGTGCCCAGCACACCCAGTGGGCACCATGTTCTAAGGGAAATAGGATAATATGGAGACAAGATACAGTTGGAGATGGGAAAGCCGTAAGCTGAGGACATGACCGCTCCAATGCGCTGATGAGGGGAAGGCTGTTTGGAGACAGGATTTCTCTGTGTAACAGTCCTGGCTGTCCTGGAACTCACTCTGTAGACCAGGCTGGCTTCAAAATCACTTGAGATCTGCCTGCCTCTGCCTCCCGAGTGCTGGAATTAAAGGCTGAGACACCACTGCCTGGCTGAGGGGAAGGTTTTATTGTAGCTACGAGGAAGAGTCCATCAAGAGGAGTCCAGAGAGAGGAAGCAATAGATTGAGTATGGCTGACTGGACTGGGCCGTGAGAGGAGAGAGCAGGAGAGCAAGGCACGAGCAAGAGGGAAGGGGATCAAAAGAGGAAGACAGAAAACAGCCCAAGAGCTAGAGAAGGTTAAGGTGGGGACTGGGCAAGCTGAGAGCTACCACCCCCACCTGCTGGTAGCGCTCCTGAGGGAGCCTGTAGGTCAGCGCGGCTTAGGTATGTTAATAGGCACCGCGGACAGCCATTTGACCTGAATTTCTTTTGGACTTTACTTTATCGGCTCTTGAATGAGACACAGACTTGGAGGGAGGTGGAGAGGGTTCATGGGAAATAAATTTGGAACATTTTAGCAATGTGGAGCATTTTGTGGGGGGTGTGGACAAGTACAGACAGTCCCTTCCGAAGATCCAGTGTCTAAAGTCAAGATAGTGAGGTGGGAGCCAGCCCAGCTCTGTGGGAGGAGCCAGCCCCAGCTCTGTGGGTGGAGCCAGCCCAGCTCTGTGGGAGGAGGCTCCGAAGCCTCCAGGATCTAGGGCTGCCCAGCTGGCTGGGAGCTCCCCCTGGTCACTGAGTCTCTGGGAGGAGCTGTCCAGATAATCCTGAAAAGAAGAAAGGAGAGAAAAAGTCTAGGTGTGGCTGCAGTTGCTATAGTTCCACCTCTGTAGGAGGTTATTCCTCGGGGTTCTTTTCTGTAGTCCTGGCTGTCCTGGAACTCACTTTATATAGACCAGGGTGTTTGTTCTACAGAGGTCTGCCTGCCTCTGCCTCCTGAGTGCTGGATTAAGGGCAAGAACTACCACTGTTTGGTTTGAGTTTGGGATTTCAGGCTAGTCTGGGCCGCTAAACAAACAACAAACAAAATTCCACAAATCTTCAGTTTATTTGCAGCTTCTTAAGTATTTTTTTATTTTAATTAGTTAATTTGTTCTTCTGTCATATATAACATCCTGACCTCAGGTTTTGGTGGTGGGTCGGTCCAAACCACGGCGGGTTCCCCTCTGTCCTCTCCTCCCAGTCCTTCTCCCCCTGTTTTGTTTTTTTGAGAGAGGGTCACACTATGTTATCCTTGGCTGTTCAGTAACTCAGAGATCTACCTGCCTCTTCCTCCCCAGTGCTGGGATCGGTCTGTACCACCAAACTAAATTACTTTATTTTAAAGCTTTTATACAAAGTCATTTGGCATCAAAATCCTACTTGCCAGTCTTATTGGTTTAAGGCAGATACCTTGTGAGTTCAAGGCCTGCCTGGTCTACGTAGCAAGTTCTAGACCAACCAGGGATACATAGTGAGACCCTGACTAAAACCCAAAACAAAACAGAATTCTCTGAGTTAAATAGTTTACTGGGGCTAGAGTGCTCGCTTTATCTGAAAGGCACCTGCTCCCAAGCCTGACAACGAAGGCGGTGTGAACTGGCGGGGGCGGGGGGAGGGGGGGCACGGGAGGGGACACGACAGGACACAAGCAGACAGAGCTTGAGAGAGGAGTTTGAGATGAAGGAAATGGGGGGAAGGGGGTCAGAAGAGGAGAGGCCTTCACCAGGAGGCGGAGCTTGTCTCTTAAAGGGACCTTTGCACTGCGCACAGTGGGACTGCTTGCCATAAGCCGCAGGGTGACTGTGCCCAAAGGGCAGGGCCAAGGTGAGTCTGGATACTAACAGAAGGAAAGAAATCAATCCTGAAAGTTGTTCTTTGGCCTTCACACACTTGACAAAGTAAGAATGTATGTGTACCCAAAACAAACTAGATAAATAAGTGTAAAAAAATTTTTAAAGAGGGCTGGAGAGATGGATCAGAGGTTAAGAGCACCTGCTGCCCTTCCAGAGAACCTGAGTCCAACTCCCAACAACCATATGGTGGCTCACAACCATCTGTTATGAGATCTGGCGGACTCTTTTGGCCTGCAGGCATACACGCAGACAGAACATTGTATACATAATAAATAAATAAATCTTTAAAAATAAATTAGAGAAGAAAAAAAATTGACCTTAAAAAAAAAAGGGTGGGGGTAGCCGGGTGGTGGTGGCACATACCTTTAATCCCAGCACTCAGGCAAATCTTTGTGAGTTCGAGGCTTGCCTGGTCTACAAGAGCTTGATCTAGGACAGCCAGGGCTATTACGCAGAGAAACCTTGGCTTCTATTTATTACCCCTTATAACACAGAGTAATGGATGTTACATGAACATCATATCACTTTTATTAATTTTAAAACCATGTGTTTGTGTATAGCAATGCAATATATAGATTTACTACGACTATGATTGACCGGACGGTGGTGGCGCACGCCTTTAATCCCGGTACTTGGGAGGCAGAGGCAAGTGGATCCCTGTGAGTTCGAGACTTGCCTGGTCTACAAGAGCTACTTCCAGGACAGGCTCCAAAGCTACAGAGAAACCCTGTCTCGAAAAACCAAGAAAAAAATGACTATGGTTGATATAATTAATGTTAAAAAAAGAGATAATTGGGGGCTGGAGAGATGGCTCAGAGGTTAAGAGCACTGACTGCTCTTCCAGAGGTCCAGAGTTCAATTCCCAGCAACCACATGGTGGCTCACAACCATCTGGCCTGCAAGGATACACACAAGCAGAACACTGTATATGTAATAAATAAATAAATCTTTTAAAAAAAAGAGATAATTAATGCAGTTTAAAACAGAATTTGTTAATCCCACTGGGTGAGAATAAAACACTACCACAATTTTTGAACCAAATTTGGAGCAAACTTTATTAAATTCTGGTCAGCCCGATAGACATTGCCCAGATTCATACCCAGAGTATGGCCCCGAATCACATTAGATAGAGTCTTAAAAAGGCAAGACCTCACCCCCCCCCCCCCCGCAAGGCTATGTCCAATTAGGGGCGAGCATATGTCCTGAAGTACTTCCTGTCTAAGTACATCTCTCCCTCGTGTGGTCAGGTAATGCTGTGCGATTGGGCAGCCAGCCTTGTGATTCTACCTAAACAACAGAGCTACTCCTCAACTCCAGAAAGTTATTTGTCCTTGGGCAGGTGGGGCTTACAGGGTAGGGGTAGTTTTGTTTTATAGATCCCTTAAACACGATAATTGAAGTTTAAAATTGAGGGAAGGACAGACAGTTCATACATTAAGATAGTGTTATGCCCAAGTTAATAATTATCCCTCCCCGCAAGAAACTCCTTGGAATTGGATTCCAATGTAAAGCACAAGAGGGTTTTTAATATACAGATTCAAGTATGGACCACACCAGCACACCAACGCCGTGAGGGAAGAGCAGCCCTGAGCCGGGCATGGGGAGAACTTTTAAAGGGGAGCTCATGTCCTGGGTTTAGGGTTGGGTAAGGAGGGCATAGGGTAAGGTAGTTTCTGAAGCCATTGGTCAGTTTTTGGGTGTGAAACACTAACAAAGAGCCGTTCACAACAGACAAGGTATATGCAAGGACAGCCTGCCTCCTAGGAACATCTATCTGGACCTCATTAAACTTTATGGCCCTGTTTCCTAGCTCCTAATTGACTATTTCTAAGGTATCCATTTAAATTTTGCTATCACAGCACATTTCTGGAGCTGAGATCGGCCCCCACTATATATATAGCTTAAGATGAAGCCCTTCTTTAAAATGGAGTTTGCTAAGTCAGGGCCTCACAGCAGCACTGGCTACTCTTTCAGAGGACCCACGTGAGATTTCCTGCATTCACATGGTGCCTCATAACCATCTCTAACCCCAGTCCCGCGGATCTTAATGCCCTTTTCTGGCCTCTGCACCCCTGCATGCATGCTGTGCATGAACATACTTGCAGCCAAAACACTCATACACATAAAAAGAAATTATTTCTATTGATTGATTGATTGATTGGTTGGTTGGTTTTTCAAGACAGGATTTCTCAGTAGCTTTGGAGCCAGTTCTGGAACTAGCTCTTGTAGACCAGGCTAGACTCGAACTCACAGAGATCCACCTGCCTCTACCTCCTGAGTGCTGGGATGAAAGGCATGCGCCACCACTGCCCAACAAAGTAAAAAAATAAATTTTTAATCATTTTTTAGAGTGGGTCAATGTGACAAATGCTCTTTATTGTGTCTAGATACTCTGCACTGTGGGCAGTGGATTAAAGAAAGGCCAGCGCTCACAGTCACTGCTTCAGTGTAATAACACATTCTGGATTCTTCCGTAATGCAAAAGTGGTTCTCACTCCTTCAGTGCACAGTTGAGTTCACAGATATCTGGGAGTGGGGGAGAGTATAATGAAGCTGAAATTAGGGGAAAAAATAGTTTTCTATCCTCCTTTAGGGCTTACGTTCTTCTGGCAACCTCCTGTCTCACCATCTAGGTTTTGTTTTGTTTTGTTTTTTTGTGGATTTTCAAGACAGAGTTTCTCTGTGTAGCCTTGGCTGTCCTGGAGCTAGCTCTGTAGACTAGGCTAGCCTAACTCGGAGATCCACCTGCATCTGCCTCTGCAGTTCTGGGATTAAAGGTGCACATCATGGCCTGGCTACATCATCAACTAATATTTTATATACTCTTGGCTTCCTCTCTAAATTTTAAAACTTTTTGCCCACACCTAAACCTGGATTACCTTTATCACCGTTTTTGTTGTTATTTTTCGACACAGAGTTTCTCTGTGTGTAGCCTTGGCTGTTCTGGAACTAACTCTGTAGACCAGGCTAGCCCCCGTCTCCCAAGCACTGGGTTTAAAGGTGTACAGCACCACCTCCCTGCAACCTGCATCACTTTTTATTAAACCTTAGAAAATTTTAGCTCTGAAACATTTGCCTCCAAGGACTTCGAGTATGGGAGTGGGCAAACTCTAATTGTTTTTGCAAATAGCCATTTCTTGTTTTTCCATTGCCTCGTTTGAGTCTCACTGAAATCAAAAAGGCTCAGACCAGTGACTGTCTCCAGGGCGTCTGAGCCTCATAGTCTGGGAAGACTGAGAGGAGGAGGTGACACACTGTCCATGAGTGCAGGTACCGCCCACTGCAGCTGAGTACACTCTTGGAGGTTGCTCTGACCGTAGCTCTCCCTTCAGGGTCTGCCATGGCTCATCTGATGACAGCACAGTTGTTGCTCCTGCTGATCTGGGTGACCGAGTGTGCCCGGGTCAGAACTGAACTGCTCAATGTTTGCATGGATGCCAAGCACCACAAAGAGAAACCAGGCCCCGAGGACAATTTACACAACCAGGTAGGACGATGGTGAGGCCCGGGGTGACTTGGGGCTGGTCAGGAGAGGGGGGTGTTTAGCTCAGTCTATGGTGGAGGAAACCGTCTGTTCTCTGGAACATGGATGACTTTGACAGTACGTATTGGCTGTCAATCGGCAGTGTAATGCTAGTCGCTCGTCTTGGTAGCTGGGTTTTGACATTGCATAAACAAGGAAGTCAGCTCAGGGAGAAGTTTGGGAAATGAACAGGCAGACCATTGTGGTAGTTTTAAGTGAAGGTTGCGGAAGATTCCTCTGGGGTCTCAGGGAAGAGGCTGTGTGCTGCTAACAGTTGCTCTTTTCGATCAACCTATGAGACTGGCTGATAAGATGGAGTCGGGCATCTAGAAAACATCTGGACTAGCCCTCGCCCGTGCAGGGCTGTGCTGTAACAGATGTTTGCCATAACCCATTTATTATCCAAGACCACCTAAACATTTAGTACAGTAAGTACAATACAGCTGTAAAGTAAAATGACAGAAGGTCAGCTCCTGGGGAGTCTGAGACAGGAGGACAGTCTGACCCTGTCACTTCACAGTCAGGAGGGTGTCTCAAAAAAAAGCCAAAACTAAGGACCATCCTAGTTCCAGGGGTACAGTGACCTCTTCTGAATCTGCAGGCACCAGCCATGCAAAGGTCACGTGCAAAACACCTAAAATAAATAACATTGATAAATGAATAAACAAATACATAGGGCTGATAGAGTACCTGCACAGTGTTCTAAACTGAATCCCTAGCACTACATAAAACTAGCTGTAAACTGAGCAGTGGTGGCGCACGCCTTTAATCCCAGCACTCAGGAAGCAGAGGCCAGCAGATCTGTGTGTTCTAGGCCAGCCTGGTCTACACAGAGAAACCCTGTCCAAAAAGAGAAACAAACAAACAAACTGCTTGTATTGGCACATAGCTGTAATCTGGAGGGTTACCCTCACCTACATAGTGAGTTCAGTGTCAACTGAACTCATAGTGAGTTCAGTGTCAATACATGAAACCCCATCAAGAAAGAGAGGGAAAGAGAGAGAAAGAAAAACAATTGGGGGGGGGGCGATGACCGGGTTTTACCATGTAATTATGGCTGGCCTGAAACTCAGTTCTGCCTACCTCCTGAGTGCTTGGAGTAAAGGCGAGAGCTACCACAGCAGGGAGACATTTTATTTTATTATTTTTTAAAAATATTTATTTATGTATTCTGATACATAATATTATACTGTCTACATGTATGCCTGCAGGCCAGAAGAGGGCACCAGACCTCATTACAGATGGTTGTGAGCCACCATGTGGTTGCTGGGAATTGAACTCAGGACCTTTGGAAGAGCAGGCAATGCTCTTAACCACTGAGCCATCTCTCCAGCCCCAGGGAGACATTTTAAAAAGCAAAGGAAAACAATGTGTGCTTCCTTCGACTTAGAAATGAACATCTTGACTCTGTGATGAGAGCCATCACAGCTCTTTTTTTCAATTTATTGTTATGGGTATTTTGTGTGTATGTCTGTGCACCAAGTGCAGTTCCTGCAGAGGCCAGAAGGTAGCATTGGATTCTCCATAACCGGAGTTACAAATGGTTGTATAGGCTTCCATGTGGGTGCTGGGAGCTAACCCAGGTCCTGTGCAAGAACAACAATGCTCTTAACTGCTGAGCCCTATTTGATGTTTTTTGTTTTTTAATAACATTTTAAAATTTATTCTTTGAGAATTTCATACATGCATTTGATCCTATCTGGCAACCTCCCCTGTGTTCTCCTACTATGTTTTTTGTTGTTGTTGTTGTTGTTGGGTTTTTGGTTTTTGAGACAGGCTTTCTCTGTTTAGCCCTGGCTGTCCTGGAACTCACTCTGTAGACACCACCATTGCCTGGCTCCTTTTCTTTATAATAAACCAAGGAGTCAAATTGTTGCTGCTCATATACGTAGAGCGTGAGGCCGTTCACTGGATCATGGTCAGCCTACCATGGACCACTCTCTTAAAGAAAATCGAATGTTCCCAGGAGCCACCCCATCAGTAGCTCCTCAGCGAGGGATGAGAAGGCTCCTCTGTCCTTCCCTTATCCATGCTCGTGTTGGTATTTTGTGTGTTGTGTTTTGTTTTGTCTGTGAGACAGAATCTCACGTGTAGCCTCCACTGGTCTGGTACTCAACATATAGACCCGGCTGGACTCCTGAGGGCTGGAATTAAAGGTGGTCCCCTCTGCACCTGGTGAAACTATTTTGAATCATTGAGCACACTGTTGCTAGCTTAGACTATGCAGTGGCTACCTTGAGCAGTAACTTACTAACTTATTCAACCTTTACTTTCTTCTCCTTTTTCTTTAATTTATTTTTGTCACTTGGGAGGTGAAGCAGATGGATCTCTGAGTTTGAGGCCAGTCTGGTCAACTTGGCAAGTTCTATACAGTGAGATCCTCTCTCAGAATAAGAAAGCCTTATTTTTATTCACACCTAGGTGTCCGTGTGAAGACCAGAGCAAGGCCTGAGAGTCTCTGCAGCTGGGGTTACAGGCGGGTTTCCTTAGGATGTGGTGTTGGACCGAAGACTCTTAACTGCTCAGTCATCTCTAACTTTTTATTTTTTTTTAAAAACTAGGCCTTTAATTCTAGTACTGTGAGAGGTAGAAGCAGGCAGATCTCAGTGAGTTCAAGTCAGCTTGATCTACATAGCAAGTTCCAGGGCTTCATAGAGAGAGGCCTGGTCTCAAAAATAGATGAAATGAGCAAAACAACAACAAAATTGTTTTGAATGTGTTTTTAAAAACTTTGCATTGGGCGATGGTGGTGCTCGCCTTAAATCCTAGCACTTGGGAGGCAGAGGCAGATCTCTGTGAGTTCCAGGACAGCCACAGCTGTTACCAAAAAAAAAAGTGTTGTTTGTTTGTTTGTTTGTTTAGATTGGCAAAATTTGCAGGGCGGTGGTGGCGCAGTCTTTAATCCCAGCACTCAGGAGGCAGGGGCAGGCGGATCTCTGTGAGTTTGAGGCCAGTCTGGTCTACACAGTGAGATCCAGCTAGGGTTGTTACACAGAGAAACCCTGTCTCAAAAAACAAAACAAAACAAAAAGATTGGCAAAATTTATGTTAAACAAAACCAAAAGATCTGAATAAATGAGTGTTGGCCTGAACGGGGAACAGCTCGAGTGAGGGAAGTCGTTTCCTATGTGGTGATACAAATAAAAGTAGTGTAGACCTCAGACCAGAGAAACCCTGTCTTGAAAAACAAACAGACAAAAACCTTTGCGCATCATACTAAGTTTTCCAGGCCAAGTGTCTTCTTCCCTCACTGGACCATAGAATCCTCCAGGTCTCCGTCATTCCTTCAGCGAGGTCTAACCTGACCGTCTGGTGGCACTGCAAGTCCAAATGCCTTTCTAGTGCCTTAATTTATTTTCCTGAAGCAGTTGGCACGTTGTTTTTATCATTTTATCCATTATCTCCTAGAAAAGTGCCTGGCTTAGCTTGGATAGGGGCTTATAGCGAAGTCAAGTGAACTAAACCCTGGGTGTGTTGCCAGCCTTGGAGTGTTAGACCTGTCTGTGAGTGCTGGGTTAGCCTGGTCAGTCTGGGAGTGTTAGACTCATCTGCGAGTGCTAAGTTAGCCTGGTGTATATGGTGAATTCAACTCACCAGGGTTACATAGCGAGAACCTGGCTTAAAAAATAAAGGCTGGATGTAGAAAAAGCTGTGTGTAGCGGCTGTAATCCCCATTGAGAGGTTGCCGTGAGACAGAGACAAGTGAGTCCCAAGTCCCCGTGCTTAACAGCAATTAATAGAGCTTAACTTGTGATTTTCAGGCCTCCAAAGTGTCTTCTGACCTCTGCACATGCACACACACACACACAGAGGCGCATGTGCATAAGAAAAAAAAACTGAAAGAAACAATAAATGTTAATTAATGATTTTTTATTTTTTGAGATAGGGTTTCTCTGTAATAGCTCTGCTGTCCTGAAATTTACACTATAGAACAGGCAGGCTTTGAACCTGCCTCTATCTGATCTGCCTCCACCTCCTGAAGGTTGGGATTAAGGGTGTGCCCTACCACACCCAGTGTGAATTAGTGAATTTTTAATTTTTTTATTTTTACTTTGTGTGTATATTTGCTTGCACGTAAGCATGTATATTCATCATCTTTGTGTCTGGTGCCCAGGAAGGCCAGAAGAGGGCATCAGATCCCTTAAAATAGGAATTCAAACAGTTGTGAACAACCATGCACCCACAGGGAAACGAAACCCTGGTGTTCTACAAGGGCAGAAAGTGTTCTCCAGGTCTCGTGAGTTAATGACTTTTGTAAGGATTGTACCTCTTGGGCTTCTACGGTCAGTCAGGGCTCAACAGCTCAACAGCAAGAGTTACAAAGGGCTGGGCTGGGTGTCTTTAATCTCAGCCTTTGGGGAGGCAGGGCCAGCCTGGTCTACACTGTGAGTTCCAGGACAGCCAGGGCTGTTACACAGAGCAACCCTGTCTTCTGTCTGTGCTGGCCGTGGACTTGGCCCTGTGTCTCCCGCCAAACAGTGCAGTCCCTGGAAGAGGAATTCCTGCTGCACCGCCAACACAAGCCGGGAAGCTCATGAGGACATTTCCTACCTGTACCGATTCAACTGGGACCACTGTGGGAAGATGACATCGACATGCAAGCGACACTTTATCCAGGACACCTGCCTCTATGAGTGTTCTCCTAACTTGGGGCCATGGACCCAGCAGGTATGAGTGTCCCCAAAGCCAACAGAGCAGCTGCGCTCTCTAAATATCTCTCCAGGGCCTGCCTCCCGCACCAGGTCCTACTCAGGCTGCAGTGCTGAGGTTCCTGAGCTCAAAAACTTCCTCATCGTCTCGCAGGTGGACCAGAGCTGGCGCAAAGAGCGAATCCTTGATGTCCCCCTGTGCAGAGAGGACTGTCAGCAATGGTGGGAGGATTGCCGCACCTCTCTCACCTGCAAGAGCAACTGGCACAAGGGGTGGAACTGGACCTCCGGTAAGGACTACGTGGGCGGGAGGGGTGGGCTGGACCTCCGGTAAGAACTACGTGGGAGGGAGGTGGGGCTGGGCAACTCTTGTGTGAAGATCTGGGGTTCTGACGCTGGCACAACCAGAGATAGTTCTAGGCACGGTGGCTAAAAGTCTTCCATGATTTCTCTAGGGTATAACCAGTGCCCTGTGGGGGCCTCCTGCCGGCCCTTCACCTTCTATTTCCCTACACCTGCTACTCTGTGTGAGGAAATCTGGAGCCACTCCTACAAACTCAGCAACTACAGCAGAGGGAGCGGCCGCTGCATCCAGATGTGGTTCGACCCAGCCCAAGGCAACCCTAATGAGGAGGTGGCGAGGTTCTACGCCGAGGCTATGAGTGGAGCTGAGCTTCACAGGGCCTGGCCACTAGTGTGCAGCCTGTCCTTAATGCTGTTCTGGGTGTTCAGCTGAGTCCATTCCTCTTCAGATGCCTGGGGAGCTCCCTGCTTGGCTTAGCCTCTCACCTCCTAGCCTCCTTTGTGGTGGGACCTCTGACAGCCTGCTTAAATAAACCAGACATTCAAAATCTGTCTTAAATTATTTGGGTATGAATTGGAATATAATTATTTTGCTTCCTCCTTCCCACTGATTGAAGTTTAAACTTGGTTAGTTCCCTGTTCTGACATTTTCTGTGGGTTACTCAGACAGACTTCATTTTCCTAAGCCGTGCCATGTTCCTAGTTCTTGATTTCATTTTTCATATGAACCCTAATTTATAGCCAAGCCCAGGGTTTCACCTCATTTATTGATTGATTGATTGATTGATTGATTGATTTTTTTTGAGACAGGTTTCTCTGTATAGCTGTCTGTCCTGGAACTTGCTTCGTAGACCAGGCTGACCCACAACTCACAGAGATCCACCTGCCTCCCAAGTGCTGGGAGTAAAGGTGTGTGCCAATACATTGGCTAAGGATTTTGCCATTTTAAATCTAACCCTAGCAGGACTAACCACTCAGTGATGTCCTCAGCTCTCTAATGGAAGAGCAGGAAATGAGAGTATCCTGCAAGTTCTACACTTGATCTTAGCCAAAGGTCCAGAGGTGATCCCAGCTTGTTCTATATGAATGGGTGGGGAGAAGGAAAGAAGAGAGCCGTGCCCTCCTTACTGTCTTAGATTTTATTTTGAGACAGGGTCTCATGTAGCCCAAGTTAGCCTTGAATTCACCTTGAGCTACAGATCCTCCTGTCTCTATCTCTTAAGTATTGGGATTACAAGTACCACACCTGAGCTAGGCAATGCCAGCGCACGCCTTTAATCCCAGCACTTGGGAGGCAGAGGCAGGTGAAATTGCTTGATGTACAGGGTGAGTTCCAGGACAGCCAGGGCTGTTACAGAGAAAACCTGTCTCGAAGAACAAAACAAAAATATACCACACTGGACTTCTAAATTTTAAAGTTTGTTTCTCATTTATTATTAGTGTGTACTATGTATGTATATGCTGTGTGCGTGTCCCTCTCCTTGCCGGGGTGCTCATATGAGAAGAGTTACAAGAACCTCTGGGTGCTGAGAAATGGACACAGGTCCTCTGGAAGAGCAACCAGAGCTCTGAACTGCTGAGTCTTCCCGCCTTGTCTGTGGTGGTTGAAGGAGAATGGCCCTCTTAGGCTCATGTAGATACAGAGGAATCTTAAGCTCCCGGGAGTGGAACTCCTTGATAGGACTGGGAGATGTGGCCTTGCTGGAGGAAGGAAGTATGTGCTCCTGGGAGTGGGCTTTGAGGTTCCAAAAGCCCATGTTAGGCTGTGGACCAGGATGTGGCTCTCAGCTACTGCTCCAGCGCCATGTCTGCCTGCCCCCATGTTCCCTGCCGTGATGATACTGGACTAACCCTCTGAAACTGTAAGCAAGCCCCCAATTAAATGTGTTCCCTTCTAAGAGTTGCCTTGGTCAGGGTGTCTCTTCACAGCCATAGAACAGTGACTGAGCCTTTTCTCCAGTTTGGTTTTTATTAGCGTCTCCGTGAATCTGGAGTTCACCAGTTAGACTAGACTAGAGGACTTAGTGAACTCCCAGGCTCCACCTGTCCCCACTTCCCAGGAGAGACTGCAGGCGCCATCTCAGCAGTCTAGTAGAAATGTGTGCGCAGGCTTCGAGACCAGAAGAGTGAACTAGCTCTCCTGGGCCGGAGTTAGAGCAGCTGCGAACAACCTGTTGTGGGTGCCGACTTTGGTCTCTGGTAGAGCAGCAAGTGCTCTTAATGACTAACACAGATTCTCCATCTCTTACAATACATTCCTAATATTCTAAATCTAGAAGTTTAATACAACATTTATTTCTTGATTAAGCTATTGTGTTGACTGGATTTTTAGGGAGCTTTTGCTACTTAACTGGGATCCCAGGCTGAGAGATAAGGTGTTCTGTGGTGGGGGGAGTTGGTCCTATCTTATCACACACTTCCTGAGATGAGACAAGAGACTTGAATTGTGGAGAAGCCTTCACACCCCTGCCACCTACCAGTTCTTTTATTGCCAAATGAGGTCATGACCAAGCCCAAAGTCCAGGAATTCTAGAAAATATCATAATCCTACTAAGTTCCAGAAGGAACAGAAAACCACCTGGTCTGTCAAACAAGCCACAGTCACTACAAAGACCTTCTTACCTCACTTCTGGAATGGTCTCCCTGACAAAATCCCCGAGGAGACAATTTAAGGGAAGACTGTGTGTTTCCCTCTCCGTTTCAGGGAGTTCCACTGTTTCTGGGTTTCTGTTGAGACAGAGAACAAGGGCAGTGGGAGCACCTGGAGAGGACGCTGACCACTGATCACGGAGCAAGTGACTAGATGTGAGCCGTCAGGGCACACTAGTGGCCTACTCCCGGTTAAGTCCCCTCCTTTCCACCACCTCCATTGGGTTATTTGTTTTGCAGCTTGTTTATTTTGAGACAGAGTCTCACTCTGTAGTTTGGGCTGCCCTAAAATTCACAAGTAACCCAGGTTGGCTTTGAACTCATGACAATCCTCCATCCAACTTGCCATCATATGATGAATCTATCAATGGATGAATTCATTTTTAGGTCAGAGCTGTCAAGGTCTAATCCTTTCTCAGTGTACTTTCTAACAGAGGTCCAAGCTCTATTGGATATTTTTAAATCAATTTTTATCTACTTGAGAAAAGATCTTACTAAATAGCCCTAGCTGACCTCTTCGTTGGCCAGGCTAGTCTCAAATTTACTGAGATCTGTCTGCCTGACTCCTAGGTGCTGGGATTAAAGGTGTGCACCACCACCGCCCAGCTGTTAGTCTAGTTTTTTGTTGTTGTTGTTGTTGTTGTTGGCTTTTTTTGTTTTGGGTTTTTTTTTGTTTTTGTTTTTTTGAGACAGGGTTTCTCTATAGCTTTGAAACCTGTCCTGGAACTAGCTCTTGTCGACCAGGCTGGCCTCGAACTCACAGAGATCCACCTGCCTCTGCCTCCTGAGTGCTGTGGTGGGATGAAAGGCGTGCGCCACCACTGCCAGGCTTGTTAGTCTGCTTTTTATGTGTGTATATATGACTATGAATTTATATGTGCGCAGGAGGCCAGAAGAAAGGTCAGGTCCCTGGAACTGGAGTAACAGCCCCATTGTGGTCTGGCGTGTTGGGTGTGGTACTAGGAACCAAACCCGGGACCTCTGGCTGACCAGGAGTGTGTTCAGCCAATGAGCTGTCTCCTGAGCTCCAAGTTACTGGTGCAGCTTCTCAGTGTGATCCCACTGGGAAGGGGTGACTCTGGGAACCTGCACACATGACTGTATCAGCACGAAAAGCTCTGGTCACCACCCTCGCCTTGTAAGAAGACTAATATGGGGAGGCAGAGGGAGCCTAATCTCTGAGTTCGAGGCCAACCTGGTCCATGCAGTAAGTTCCAGGGCTATATAGTAAGATCCTGTCCCAAAAAATGAGAAAGAGGCCCCCTAGGGGAGGTTTGGGGTCGGGGAGGGTGGCAACAGTCCAGGGAGAACCCTGTTCCCAGAGCAGGCTGTAGACAAATCCAGTTGGGACATTTCAGGGAGTTGCCTACTGACCAAGGACTTTAAAAGAGAATGTTTATTCCAGCGGACACAAGTACAGCACTCAATTGAGGGTCACAGACCAGAGCGGGGCAGGGTGGAGAAGGCTGTGCTGTATGACAGATCAAAAAAAAATTATAACGGGATCTTAACCACAACCACATCTCCCTCAGCAACTTGACTCAGTCCTTTAAATTATTCCTCGGGTGAGCATCTCTCTCCACGTCTTCTGCCCAGAGGCTCCAAGTTTTCTGGAAACCCTCAGAGTTTGACTCATCACTTAAAGTGTTACTTTAAGGCAGTGATGTCATTTACACGAGTCTGTTTCCTGTCAGCAAATTGTGGGAGGAATCTTTAAATAGACAAGTGGGGAGAAGAGAAACCACCTATAGATGCTATCAGATGGCTAGGGCAGCCTGTTCATTTTCAATACCAGAGTGAAAAGAGGCCAGGCAGGGTGGTGCACCTCCCTCTCCAGCACATGCTGTCTGTCCTGGAGGCAGAGGCAGGTGGATCTGAGTTCAAGGCCAGTATGGTCTACAGAGTGAGTTCCAGGACACCAGGGCTACACAGAGAAACTCTGTCTCAAAAAAACAAACAAGCACCCCCCCCAAAAAAAAAACCAACAACAACAAACAAAAACCAGAATGAAAGAGAAGAAAGTTTACTGGGATGGGACAGCATAAACCTACTATCCTTCTAGGCAGTGGTGGCGCACGCCTTCAGTCCAGCACTCGGAGGCAAAGGCAGGTAGGTGGATCTCTGAGTTCGAGGCCAGCCTGGTCTAAAAAGTGAGTTCCAGGACAGCCGGGGCTGCACAAAGAAATCCTGTCTTGAAAAATAAAAATTTAAAGTTAGAGTGGACCTACTTTCCTAGTTTGTTCTCATCTGGATCACAGCCTCAGGAAGAGCAGTCAGGGCTTAAACTCAAAGCATTAACTGTTAATCCCAAAGACAGAGAAAGACCACCAATCCAAGTCATCATGTCCAAATTAATTGAAGCAAGTTTTTGTTTGGTTTGGTTTTGTTTTTCTGTGTAGCTGTCCTGGAACTCACTTTGTAGCCCAGGCTGGCCTCGAACTCACAGAGATCTGCCTGCCTCTGCCTCCTGAGTGCTGGGATTAAAGGTGTGGGTCACCACTGCCTGGCTAAAGCAAGCTTTTTTTATTCATGTACATGGACTCAGGGGTGGGAGGGTTCCAAGAAGGAGATTTGGTGGAAAAATAGGTGGGTTTATTGGAGCAGAACATGGTAACATGTAAATCCTAAGGACTCTCTGAAACAAAGACATGGTTGCAAGTTGGGCATAACAAGGCGGTCATAACCACAGGTAGTCACAACAGAGTGGTGGTAGGGGGTCATATAACCTTCTGAAACAAAGGTAGGGTTGCAAAATGGTTACAAACAACTTTTTGAAACGAAGACATGATTATCATTTCCTGGAACAGGCAGAACAGAATCATTCGTAGTTAAGGTTACAAGTAGGGCATAGTCTAATCCTTGAGAAACATTGGTTTAATCATAAACGGGCATAGACCTAGTTTGTCTT